ATGTCAAAATTTAGCCATCCATAAACACTGAACTCAATTTTAACCGTTTAATAGAAAATACTTAAATAGTCACTCTACCAATTTTTTAGGGTGACGGTTCCCGATACAAATTCATGTTTTCTACTTCGCTAATTCTCAAGTTCCCAACTCATTGAGATATTTGACTAATCAAATTGATCTCACATATTGATGAATCAACGAACCATTAAAATCAAGAAAAGATATTCATAACACCGTCAAGGGACTTATATAAAATACACAGCGGTCAACTTGAATTTAATTCTCCGCACGGTCATGCTATAGAATTAAACTCGACACCTGGCCTGTTCAATACACTCCAAGTGTACTAGTTTATCTATTTTGGTGAGAAGGACAAATCACAAACCCGAATAGTGAATCGAAAAACATTACAACATTCCAATACAAGGTGCTAACCCTTATACATTGGTGGTGAACAAATTATTTATGATCAAAATATAAGATGTATCACATTGTACTTCTCAATGCAAGTACCCAACTTATATTATCGCAAGCGATCATAGGCAATTTAGTTCGAATGCTCAATAATTAAATAAATACAATAAACGAAATAAACAATTTTATGTAATATAAGAATATTATTATTTTTACATCAACAAAACTGTATTATATGGGCACACAACCCAACACCTATAACAAAAAGAGTGCTTCGAAGAATTTATGAATATTTTGAATGATATGGAGTTTTGTAATTGGTTATATTTGTCAGCCCTCTTGTATTTCCATCTAACAACACCAGCACCAATACATAAAAATTGAAACACCTTGTGAACGAATGGACAGTTAATATGATGAAAAGACACAAAAAATTGCCAAATATAACCTTTGTTTTGTTCATCTAAAAAATGTAATTTAAATATAAGTCAAAGTCAATAATTATTTATAACCAAAAATTTCATAGAATTCATAATTTTTCAATTACACATTCCATGATTTTTTTAATCAAAAAAATACTAACAATTTAATTTTTAGGAATAAATGTAGCAATGGTACCAAATCTTTCATTTAGTAACAGACTTTACCCAAATCTTTCATTTGTGTCACCAAAGGTACCAAACCTTTCATTTTTGCCACCAACGGAACCAAATCTTTCAAAATATCGGTAACTAAAGTCCAAAGTGATGGTTTATGTTAGTTTGACAGTTGATTGATCAAATAATTGACTCTGACAATAATGTTGACTAATTTTAAAAAGTTAAAATGGTAATTTTACATTTTTAATAATAAAATAACCATAATCAAATAATTAAAATTAAAAACTTATTCCACCTTCTTCTTCTCCACTCACATCACCCACACCCCAACTCCACAAATCTGGAAAATAAACCCCTTCGAATCCTTGAACCCATAGAAACCTGTTGCCTAACTATGTAGATCTACGTAGGCCGGATTAGAGATTAGGACCTTAACAACTGATCAGAAATGGAGCTCCTCGATAAAAATATGGATTTTCGCTAAAATAGTCAGTCGAAGAGACTATTTTGACTAAAGAGGAAAAGAAGAGATAAGAGATTGAAAAGGGCTTAGGGATTTTTTGTATGACTCTAAGCAAGTTTCTGGTAAGATCCATTTCTTGCTGTTAATTTGCGGGGGCGATTGTGGCACTCACTGCAGCTTGTGTGTGGGTGTATTGCGATTGTCGACACAGTGGTGGTGGGTTGATTTTGGTTCGTTTGGTTAGGATTGGGTGAGTGAAGGTGGGTATATGTGGGAGGGAGAAGAAGATGGACTGTTTGAGATGAAGTTTTGGATTTCTAATTCCATGGTCAATCAAGATGAAGTTTTGGGCTAAATACACATGTAGAGTTCCTTAGAGCCATTGCCATTGCAGCATAACGCACATTCGGTTCTGGGGACTCCATTCCCGAGCTTGTTGAAGCATTTTCAAAGTTCCAAACCCAAAGGGTGGGGGGGGGGGTGGGGGGCGGTGGAGAAGAAGGTGGAATGAGTTTTTAATTTTAATTATTTGATTTTGGTTATATTATTATTAAAAAATGTAAAACTACAATTTTAACATTTTAAAATCAATCAACATTATTGTCAAAGTCAATTATTTGGTCGAACTAGCAGAAACCATCCATTTGGACTTCAGCTGCGGACATTTTAAAAGCTTCGGTAACATTGGCGGAAAAAATGAAAAGTGTGGTACCGTGGATGGTACAAATGAAAGGTTTGGGCAAAATCTACTACTAAGTGAAAGATTTGGTACTGCTACTGCAATTATCCCTAATTTTTATCTAAACCAAACAAGGGCATAGTTGCTTCACACCTCTTCACAGGGCAACATAGGTAATTTGACCTCGTTCCCAAACTTCATTTCTTTGTCTTTTCGGTCCCTTTTTCTACAGCTCCCTACTTAGAAAGTATCCATGGTCATTTTTATTCTTGCTTTTGTAATTTGAACAAATTACAATAATCCCTCACTTGTTCAAATTAGAACAAATTTCGATTAAGAAATAAGTGTACTTATACGTAAAAAGTGTAAATTTCAATTTGAATCTTTACTTTAGTATATATTTCACAAGTGATGTCAAAGTTTCAGGTAATATAAAAATTTGAACCAGTTATTCCTTTTGACAACATTGGTAACACCACACACATAAATACCAATGTTCTTTGTTCTACACTTCTCACTTAACGCTTTAGGGCTTTCTGTTAATTTTGATTGTGGACTTTTATGAGAGAAGCTTCAACTCTCAATTGAGCAGCCACCACCTCAAAATTCATATAGATGAAGTTCTTTCAATATCTTTATTATACTTAGAGATGCCTGCACCTTAAAACTTCATTAAGAGTTTAATAAACTCCTCGCTCCCACCCTAACAATCAAAACTTTAGTCTAGGATAGCATATTATTTTAATAAAGTGGTGAAAATTGTCCACTTATAGAATGAAAATATAATATGTTTATAATAATTGGGTAGGATTTGGCATAATTTGTGGATCTCTATGATGAGTTTTAATCCCATCCTACTCAATTTTGATCTTACTGCTTATTTCATAAAACAATTAGTCTCGAGTTATTTTCTTAAGTGATTTCAAGACATTCACTATTTTGCATCACTTTGTCAAGTGTATTTTATCATTGATTTCATAAACTGACTCAAAACACACATATACTTCTACTTATCTCCATTAAAAGTATGATTAATGTGTGTAAGAATCGCAATAACACAATATTTTCATATCTTATACTCACTCAAATTGTCAAATTTAATTTATAGATTCTCATAAAAAAATGCAGTTCAAAAGGTACACTCATTTTATGTAACAAATATTATTTATGAAAGATTAATTTTTAGTATATGATTGGACTTCATTGGTTAGTGAAAGATCAATTTTAGTATACGATTGATCTTGACTAGACAAAATTATATACAATAGAAAAGATAAACATGTGATTAATTTGTCCGTCGTCAAATCCATTCTTCTCCATTATAATCTATCAACATGCTCCATAACAATTTGGTGTTTTGTATTATCCAATTAGCTAGGCACCATGTTCTGAAAACGTAGTCTTTTGCTATTGAATTCACTTTTAATAAAGAATAATTCCATTCATAGTGAAAACTACCAGTAATTGCCCTCTCTATGTGAGCCTTGTGCATCAAATAACAATATGCCCAATGTATGTCAAGTTGGGTGGGTAATCTTCACTATGAATAACATTACTCTTTAATAAAAGATAGTTCAATTCACTCTTGCTAAAAGAAAACAACAAAAAAATCACAAATTATTGAAAGTAACACTATTTTACTGGGTGTGTTTAGACAATGGACAAAATGGTGTTATCTAGGCAAACGAGAGAGTTCGATATGTTAGACTAAAAGAGACAAACAAACACTTTTGACACGCTACTGAAAAATTAGTTTCTTGTATATGATTGAACTTCATTGATATACAATGAATTATTCTTCTTGGCCCGGCTCAAAGCTAGGGCCAAATACAGGATGCTGAGGTGGCGCCCCATCATTGGGGGCGCTGACCGAGCCAGGGCCAAGAACAGGGCGTGGAGGTGGCGCCCCATCATCACCAATGATGGGGCGCCACCTGGCACCCTCCGTGGCTTTGAGCTGGGCCAAATAGCATCTCTCATATACAATTGCAACCTAGTTTCTCTGGAGCACACTTGGTCCTGTCTCTACAAGGAAGCAACTCCATGCAAGCTCAGCTAAATGAGACTATTAACGATTAAGAATCTATTTTTACATATATTTCCTTGTAAGTAACCAGGAATGATGTTCCAATAATAGTATACAACATTTTGTTGTTAACCCACTTGCTCAAATTTTAGCCTCCGTTTGGGAAGAATTTATTAATCGCTTAACTTATAAACATATACAAACGAGTAGTTGATAAGTTAAAAGTATTTGTGGGTCCATTAAAATGTCTACTTAGAATGAAATTCGATCATTTATAAATAATTTTTAAATTCTATGGGTCCACTGCTTGGTATATATATTTGCAGATAAATTAATGGACAATATGTGAACAACAATGATACTTTCCAATGAGCTTAAGATTTAAGATATCCCATGAAACATTCAATAAACAGAAAGATTATAAGAAATTTTGTTCCTCAACTATAAACTAGACAAATAATTTTATACATCTTATCTTCTCTGTCTACAAATATTATCACGATTTGTGGCAATTTCCACAATCTCAAGATTCCCCCTACTTAATTTCTATATTCGTTTTCTCAAATTTCCACTGTATCGAAGATTTCACATTTGTTTGAACACAATGATTAATCTTTTAGTCTTATTCCTACTTTGGCATTTTTCATTTCCAGGATTTTAGCTCCGAAGTAGCGACTTGCCTGTGAAGTAAATCGTCGCACCTATGGTCTAACCAATTGGAAGAAAATCAATTGATTTAGCCATCGCATGTAAGGAGGTTGATTACGGAGCCCTCATATCAAAAATGAGAAATAACAAATACTTACCCTTCGTCCAAGACTAGACTGAATACGTCAATGGCGTCTCGCATTCCTTGGAGGAGGTCACCGATGATTCTCTGCCGCCTTGCTGGCTTTTATCGCCATTACCGTAGTCGCCATTCCGAGAAGAATTGGCTCTGGAATCGTTTCTGGGCTGGCTGGATCCATGGTAACGCCGTGAAATCTGGGCGTTGTCGACACGGTTGGCGTAGCAGCAACACTTGATGCAGGAATATATGTAGACTAGGAACCAGAAGAGCCATGGGGAGCCTATCAAGGTTAATGCAGCAATGGGATACCAAGGCTTGGATATATTAGGAAAGTAAGTATAGAGAACAAGAAAGATTCCACCGGTTGTTAGGCAGAGGCAGAATAGGGAAGAGACAAGAGGAACCCTAATATCTCCTTCCTTTTCTTCCTCCATTTGTTAACAAACACACCCTTCTGCCTCTTCCTCTTCTTCTTCCTCTTCCCTTTCTTATCTCTTTTTATTGTTTTCTTCTTCTATGCCAGTATTCCTATTCAAGAATCTCCCTCTCCCTCTCCCTCTCCCTCTAGGATTTTTCCAGGCAACAAACTTTGGATGGAAAGATTCGAATGAAAACAATATGACAATTCTCTCTCTCTCCAGGATTCTTCCAGCCAAACAACATATGATGAACAGATTCAAGAAATGAAAACAATAGGGCGTTGAAATCGGGAGTTAGTTTGTCAATTTTTTTGCAAAATGGAATGGTATGGGCATATGGCAACTATATATACATAGACGGCTAAGGTTGAATATTTAGAAAACCATTCTTTTCTTCTACCATTTTATATATGTATCCGTCTCTAAGCCCCCGTTCGACTCCCATTATTTGAAATTTTAATGGTTCGAATTATGATTTTATGAAAAATGCGTGGTAAGTTTTGAAATTACTTGTAATATCATTTTATTGAAAAATGTATGATTTATAAAAAAATAGTGAAAAATGAATTATAATTTTAATGAGGGTTAAATGAAGACTAATGGCTTGTTTGTCTCCTTTTATTTGAAAACATTGTTTTCTACAGTAACATTCTCCACCACACATTCAAATAATAATATAAAATTTCTTTAAATTTTAACCACAGATTCTCCAAAAAATACTATTCAAAACTCCATTCTTTCTCCAATAATGGGAGACAAACAGGGGCTAAATTTATCCTAAATAGGGAAGGCAAATGAACTTGTCAACTTGCGGCCTGGTTTGAAAAAAGCTTGAAATGGTTCGACTCGGGGATTGGGCCAAGCCCAAATCTAGGGACTTGGCTCAAGCTTTGACAGGCTAGTGAAAATGGCCAGTGTTGCACGCTTGGTTCGGCTCGCTGCCAAATTTCAATTTTTATTTTATTTAAGATTTAAATCAATAAAGTATAACTTATATATAAATATACTTACATAATTAATATTCATAATTATGTTACAAATATCTGTATTTTATATTTTATTATCATATTCAATAATATTCTTGTTATATTTTATTGATATAAATTTTAAATTTTATTATAGGATTAGATAAAACTCTCGAACTGAGCAGAATCGGATCGAACCGAACCCAAATCGAATCGAATCATGCGGTTCTTCTTAACTTAAATACTTGAGCGGGTATTTGAGTCGAGAACCAACGGGTTTGATCCGATTTTAGGTTCTAGACGAAGAATCGAAATATCGAATAAGAACCAAATCTCCCTAACTTTTTTAAATCTTAAATAAGTCAAATTATTTTATTATTTTATTAAATTTGCTAACTAATTAATTTATTTCAAATGTAAAATATGATTTTACTATTTCTAATTTCCAATCAAGTCCAACTTAATCAAATTGACTTAAGTTTTACCAAAAACCCTTATTTTACCGTAGTGTCATTTCTGTCGTTCTATTATTGTGAACTCACCATCTTCCTCTTCTTGTGATTTTAACAGTCAAATCTATGACGAACTCAAAAAAGAGATGTGCAAAAGATATTACGAAATTTGAATACATTATTTTGTAAGAGTTAAAATTAAACTTGTCTAGTTGAATTAATGTAGCATTATTATAATATAAAAAATTTAATTATTGTACGAAACTCGGGAACCGAATAGTACAAAACCAGACTGAATCGAACTAAACCGAATGGAACCGAACCCAAATGATTCCATAATTAAATTTGGATCCGACTGTTCCATTTACTAAATACCCAAAAATTTGGATTCGGAAAGAACCGAACTTGGACAATGCTCACTCATATTTTATTATATATGAGTTAATATATTATTTGTTATCTTACGGTGTTGAAACTTAAAATTATTTTCTATTCCATATTTTTTTAATTCTACAAATGAATATCAGTATAATTATACACTTGAAAATGTACTCTAATTCATATATTTTCATATTTATAGGAATATTTTTTTTATTGTATTTTAGTCGAGAAGGAGAACTTGTTGAACTTTTTTTACATGAATACTTCACGATTTAAAATCAAAAAAATTGCGAGCCAACTCTGCTCGGTGAAGCCCAAGCCAAAAGCTTGAGTCAAGCCTCCAAATTTTGTAGGACTTTGGCTCGGCTCGGCTCGGTTCGACTCTCCTCGGAGTAAAAACGCTCGAGCCTTTTTTTTTTTGACCTGGTTGTGTACAAGCCGGCTCGACCCTACTTTTTGACATCTCTAATCCTTACTAAAAATTAAATTTTTAAAAATAATATTACATCCGTCCCATAAAAATAGAGTTGATTTCATTTTCGTTTGTCCCAAATTATAGACCACTTTCCTTATTGAAAGAGATATTTTTTAATTTTCTACTATGTCCCCATTTGATATACTTTATTATCAACAAATAAAAACTAATTATATTTAAATCACTATTTAATATGAGGGTATATTAGAAGAAATGTAAGAAAAAATTATATTATCAACTATGTTAATTATATTTTCTTAATCTTTGTGAAAATAGAAACAAACATATTTTTATGGGACGGAAGTAGTATTATAATCATCCACATTACATTCTAACATTATCCTTATAAATTCATTCATTTAAACACCATGCTCTGTTTGATGGGAATTAAATCAGATTTTTAGTAAATTTTGATAGAAATCGATGAAATGTGTAGTTGAAAATTTGCTAGACCTATAAAATATGTGATTAAAATTAATTGTTGACTTTGACTTAGCTCCCGTTTGACAGCCATTAAAACAAAATTCATTTCTTCTTCAAACTCATTTTCAATCACACATTCTCACAATAAAATATTTTGAACATAAACTCAAAATTTTTTCATACTTTTTAATCAGACATTTTCCAAAAAAAAGAAAAAAAACTTATTTTAATGTTTGTTAAATAAGTGCATAGATTTAAATTTAAATTTTTATTCATACAAAACATAGACTATATATCCATACAATTTTTATATATCTATCGTTATTACAATGGTCTTGAAGATCATGTTTTATTTAATAATAGTCAAGCTTAGAAACAAAAATCACAATTCTAAATTAATAGTCTAAGAGATATATCTGCGGAAGACATCTTGCATTAAATATTAGTAGCTAAATCTTCTTCCCTTTACTCCTCACGAATGTATTAACCGTCAATGGAGTAAGAGGAAATGGGACCTCAGCCTCTTATATAGAAACTTATTGAACCCTCACATTAATGATTCCAACCCTAATTAGATCTTTCTGGCCCATATACGTAAATTATCACGTTACATATGATATAACCCTATATAATTAAGGTGTAAAATGGCTTAAATGATCACTAAACATATTGGGCTTAACTATAGTATCATTATGAGCTATACATCTAATCTGTTTTATAAAACATAAAATTTACAAGAGTTTCTCCAAACAGAATTTTTAAGATTCAACTTCAAAAATCAGATTGAAAGTTTTTATCTACAAAAATCACATAATTATATATTATTATAAATATTAATAATAATATTACAAAAGTTAAATTATTTTACATATCCACCTCCACTACTATCTACTCTCCCAAACCCTAATTACTTATCCAGATATTCTGTAACACCCCGAGTTCCGTGAACCCGGATTACCACATCATCGTCTTTTGTAACTGATTTAACTAAAAAAGTTTTGTGGAAAATAACTAAATTTTGAAATGTCGCATTTATAACGGTAAAACCACGATGATAACAAAACTCATTTGATTAACTTAAGAAATTTGATTAAACTTCAAATCTTGAGTTTTTTGAAATACTGAAATAACAAAGTACATTAATAGTGTTCAAATACGAAATTTTTCAAATGTAAATAACTGAATTCATTAAATTGTTGCCACACTGCCCATCAAACCCGGCCGTCTCCAAAATCTGCAAATATCG